ACAAATGATCATCACATTCCTTCCAGATGCTCTGAACAAAGATAGAGCTTTTGATTAAATTTGATATACTTCAAGAAAGTCTGTATCTGTCAAGATGCTCACTTTTTTTAAAGAAATATTAAAAATATGAAACATAAAACTTATTCTGTAGCCAAAACACAATGTGATATCCTTCATTTGGAGAAAAACCTTAGGATAAGGGCATGATTTTGCAGTCAGGCTGGATTTATAAGTGAAAAGCTATTTGCAGAATGTTTACTGTGATATGAAATCCAACAAGTACATTCAGCAAGATTTTTTTTATCAGAGACCTCCTGCACAACTCTCCCACCACCACAAAAAACTGCCTCACCCCCACCCCACACCCAAGCAGACCTGCACTCTTTGATATAAAATAGTATGTAGTGTATCACCAACCTGTCTCTGAGACAGCGTTATTTCTTGTATTCAACTACTTCAATGGACATACTAGTTCTTCCTTCAATGCCTTTTCTTTTCCCTCACCCTTTGCTAATGGCCCTGCTGTGTCATGTCTTGATGTTCTGGAGAAAAAGATGGGGGTGATTCTATGCCTTTGTGGTCAGTGGCAACATACTTTCCTGGGCAGATCTTCAGTTTTATATGGTCACGATGATACCTCCTGGGGCAGCATATGCTAGCGGGTGCATTTGCCTGTGTATCAACAAGAAAAAGAGAAAAAAAAATGATCAGAGTTGGCTCAAAGCAGGGGTCCATCATTATGTACTTACTGGGTTTGCTGATTCATTCCCGGCTGCAAGAGGCTGCCGTCCTGGCAGAGCAGCAGCACCTTCCATCTCGTGGCTCTGCAGCTCTCGTGCCTACCATGTCCCTTCAGAACAGGCTGTGAACCGCAGCAACGGAGGACACTTCATACATAGTTGCGGCTAGGATATCACCACTGAAACACTTTTCCCCTTGGCCATAAAGGGAGATAAATTCTTCAACAGCCTCAACTAAATCCCAAATGGATCATTCATCAGAGCCCTAAAATATCAAACTTGAAATTAAGAGCCCTGAACATTTTTCACTGTCGTTTCAAACTTCAGAATCACAGAATGGTCTGGGTTGGATGGGACCTTAAAGATCACCTAGTTCCAACCCCCCTGCCATCAGCAGGGACACTTTCCACTAGACCAGGTTGCTCAAAGCCTCATCCAGCCTGGCCCTGAACACTTCCAGGGGGCAGCCACAGCTTCTTTGGGCAACCTGTGCCAGTGTCTCACCACC